TCACACACGTCAGTTGTCTGCCCTGTCTGGCGTTCAAGTTGCGACCACGTGTTTTGCTTCGAAGACAGCCTAGTCTCACTTGTAGAATCCACGTCCTATATATAGGCTCTCCTACAAATTAGTAAAGAGAATAGAAATCAATGCATTGAACACCGCGTATTGATGTAGAACAAAAACGCGACCTGTTTATGTTTGCAATATAACTGTTTATTCTGAACATCAAATTAATATCATCTAAACATCACGCGTCATTTAACGACTTTAAGGTCAGGCACATAATATATCACGAAACTAAATACACTGAATTAATATAAGAAACATCCGTTTACCTAATGAAGTTACTGAACGTCCGTATGGTGTTCTCGTACTAGACTGATGTTACAAACGTTAATAGTGTAATTATATACCTGCTGTTATGATGAAACCGGTCTGATATCCTGACACCCGGCTAACCGGTTTGATCTCCTGATACCAGGACACCAGGTGGTCGCTTCCCCTAAATAATTACAAAAGCAACTGTGCACCTCGCCCACAAACATTGCTGTAAAACTATCTTAGGGTTTCTCCTGGGCTTGGTGCGTAAGTGGCATCCACACTGCGCAGGGATGTTGACTGTTATTTCTACAAAAGCAGGATTAACTAGCCTTATAAACAAACACTAACAACAAATCACCGAATACATAATATTCTTACGCACGCCAAGCAATCCCGCATCTCTGACTTCTTAAAGTCTCAGCTCCTCACAGCACCCTGCAACCCTTTCTAATGCATCTCATTTCATGTGTATTAAACAATGCTTGGCGACACCTACAAACCATATTTTACAACTGCGTAAGTAATTAAGATCCTGGAGTATAAGAGTGTTTTTACGCCATCTAATGGCTGATTAAGCGATGGCTATAATGATGGGGATATAGCGTAGCTCACTCTTAAAAGTTCACTCTACTCAGATAGGAGAATGAAGCATCACACAGTTTGCACTCATATAGATTTCCCCAGGAATTAATTCTTACGTACTCCATCGTGCTTCAGAAAAAGCTGCCACGTACTGGTCACACACGTCAGATATGTCTACCCTGTCTGGCGTTCAAGTTACGACCCCGTGTTTTGCTTCGAAGACAGGCTCGTCTCACTTGTAGAATTCACCTCCTATATATAGGCTCTCCTACAAATTAGTAAAGAGAATAGAAATCAATGCATTGAACACCGATCAATGCATTGAAAACCACATGTGTGTTTTACGCCATCTAATGGATAATTAAGCGATGGCTATAATGATGGGGATATAGCGTAGCTCACTCTTAAAAGCTTGCTCGGCTGTTGGTATGCCACCTAGTCTTCCCTATCGACTTAAAATCAGTTCATATATCAAAGCATCACATTTCATTGTTTAATATGGTATTTTAAACCCATCGCTC